AAGCTTCTGTGTGTAAAAGCCTCTGTGTGTAAAAGCTTCTGTGTGTAAAAGCCTCTGTGTGTGAAAGCGTTGTGTGTAAAAGTGTCTGTGTGTAAAAGTGTCTGTGTGTAAAAGCGTCTGTGTGTAAAAGCGTCTGTGTGTAAAAGCGTCTGTGTGTAAAAGCGTCTGTGTGTAAAAGCGTCTGTGTGTAAAAGCCTCTCTGTGTGTAAAAGCTTCTGTGTGTAAAAGCGTCTGTGTGTAAAAGGGTCTGTGTGTAAAAGGGTCTGTGTGTAAAAGCGTTTGTGTGTAAAAGTGTCTGTGTGTAAAAGCTTCTGTGTGTAAAAGCACCTGCGTGTAAAAGCGCCTGTGTGTAAAATCGTCTGTGTGTAAAAGTGTCTGTGTGTAAAAGCGTCTGTGTGTAAAAGCGTCTGTGTGTAAAAGTCTCTGTGTGTAAAAGCGTCTGTGTGTAAAAGCGTCTGTGTGTAAAAGAGCCTGTGTGTAAAAAGCGTCTGTGTGTAAAAGCGTCTGTGTGTAAAAGCGTCTGTGTGTAAAAGCGTCTGTGTGTAAAAGGGTCTGTGTGTAAAAAGCGTCTGTGTGTAAAAGCCCCTGTGTGTAAATGTGTTTGTGTGTCAAAGCGTCTGTGTGTAAAAAGTGTCTGTGTGTAAAAAGCGTCTGTGTGTAAAAGTGTCTGTGTGTAAAGGCGTCTGTGTGTAAAAGGGTCTGTGTGTAAAAGCGTCTGTGTGTAAAAGCGTCTGTGTGTAAAAGCGCCTGTGTGTAAAAGCTTCTGTGTGTAAAAGCGTCTGTGTGTAAAAGCTTCTGTGTATAAAAGCCTCTGTGTGTAAAAGCTTCTGTGTGTAAAAGCCTCTGTGTGTAAAAGTGTTGTGTGTAAAAGCGTCTGTGTGTAAAAGGGTCTGTGTGTAAAAGGGTCTGTGTGCAAACGCGTCTGTGAAAGTCTTTGCGTGTAAAAGCATCTGCCTGTAAAAGCGCCTGTGTATAAAAGCGTCTGCGTGTAAAAGTGTCTGTGTGTAAAAGCGTCTGTGTGTAAAAGCCTCTGTGTGTAAACGCGTCTGTGTGTGTGTGTGTAAAAGCGTCTGTGTGTAAAGGAGTCTGTGTGTAAAAGCTTCTTTGTGTAAAAGCGTCTGTGTGTAAAAGCCTCTGTGTAAAAGCCTCTGTGTGTGAAAGTGTTTGTGTGTAAAAGCTTCTGTGTGTAAAAGCCTGTGTGTGTGAAAATTGTGTGTAAAAGCGTCTGTGTGTAAAAGCGTCTGTGTGTAAAAGCGTCTGTGTGTAAAAGCGTCTGTGTGTAAAAGCGTCTGTGTGTAAATGCGTCTGTGTGTAATAGCTTCTGTGCAAAAGCGTCTGCGTGTGAAAAACAATACGAAGGATAGGATGCAAACTAGTGTTTTGTACTTGTAATATATTGTCTTGATACTACTTGTCTCGCCTGCCTAAAATACATCTTTAATATATTGTCTTGCAATATAGTGTCTCAATACTAACAACAGAAGACCCTGCTCTCTCTCTCTCTCTCTCTCTCCCTCTTCTCTCTCTCTCTCTCTCTCTCTCCCTCTCTCTCTCTCTCTATCTCTCTCTCTCTCTCTCTCCCTTTCTCTCTATCTATGTCTCTCTGTGGTTGCAAGACACGTGTCATATGATGCCCTTTACCAAGCAGCACAGTGCATATGCATGGGTTGTCACATGTATCCTCTTCTTAATCAATCTTACTTTTCACAACTTACCCCTCCATAGCTCATATAAAATTCACCAACCTATCACCGACTATTTTTTACGACTACCATACTCAGAGCTGCTTGAAAAACGGCTTTTTCGCTCTCGGGCCAACCGTCGTCTAGTTTTTCCCAGCTTCTACCGGTGAGTTTTGCAACAGTTCCCAGTTTTTTTTGGCAACAGTGGTGTTTTTTTTGCAATGGCTCCGAGGTGTTTTTTTGCAACCGCGATTTTTTTTGCAACAGTTGCGTTTTTTGCGTTTTTGGCAACGGTTAGCTGGTAGCAGTGGTGGTAGTAGTCGCAGTTCGTAGGGGTACTATGTAATGGGTAGTGGGTAGTAGGTTGTTTAGGTAGTAGGAAGTGGGTAGCCAAAGTGCTGCTGTTGATCGCTTTTGCCTGTTGTGCTGATCGTTTCCGGCGTGGGTTTTTGTTTTGATGGGGCCGAGCAGGATGGAATTAGTTTGGCGTGAGAGGGTTTGGGGGAGCTGCGCAGATCCCCTGATAATGGATAGGCTCTTTGTGGAAAAGCTGCTCTGTGTAACGGCTTCTCTGTGTAAGAGCTTCTCTGTGTAAGAGCTTCTCCGTGTAAAAGCTTTGTGTGTAAAAGCTTTTGTGTGTAAAAACTCCGGCGCAAAAGCCTCTTTGTGTAAAGCGTAAAAGCTTTTGTGTGAAAAACTTCTTTGTGAAAAAAAGCGATGTGTAAAGTGCGTAAAGGTTGCTTTGTGCAATAGCTTCTCTATGCAACGGCATCTCTGTGTAAAAGCTTCTGTGCGGAAAAGCTGCGGGTTGTAACGGCTTCTTTGTGGAAAAAAAACCTTTCTCTCTGTGTAAAGGTTTCTGTGTGTAAAAACTTTCCTCTGGAACGGCTCCTGTGTGTGACAAGCTTTTGTGTATAAAAGTTTCTTTGTAAAAAGCTGCTCTGTGAAACAGTTTCTGTGGAAAAGCTTCTCTGTGTAAAAAAAAATCCTGTGTGTAGAAGCTTCTGTGTATAAATGCTTCTGTGTAAAAGCTTTTGCGTGTAAAAGTGCTTTGCGTAAAGGCTGGTCTGCGCAAAGGGTTTTGTGTAAAAGCTGCTGCACGTAAAACCTTCTGTGTGTGAAAGCGGGTCTGTGTAAAAGCGCCTCTCTGCAAGAGCATTTGTGTGTAAAAGCGTTTGTGTGTAAAAGCATTTCCGTGCAAAAGCTGCCCTGTGTAAGGGCTTCTGTGTAAAAGATTCTGTGCATAATAGGGTCTATGTGTAAATGCCTCTATGAGATGTAAAAATTTCTGTGTGCAAAACGTCTGTGTGTAAAGGCTGCTCTGTGTAACAGCTTCTCTGTGTAAAAGCTGCTGTGTGCAAAGGCGTGAGTGCGTAACAGCTTCTCTGGGCAACAGCCTCTTTGTGTAAAAGCTTCTCTGTTGAACGACTTCTATGTGTCAAAACTAAAGGCGCTTCTTTTTGAAAGTTTTTCTGTGTAAGAGGTGCTCCGTGCGAAGTTTTCTGTTTGAAAGCTTCCGTGTGTACAGCGTAAATGCAAAAAACTGCTCTCTGTAAAATCTGCTCTGCGTAACGGCTTCTCCGTGGTAAAGCTGCTCTGTGCAAAAGCTCTGTGTGTAAAGTTGTTTTTTTTGTACGTGTGTGCAAGTTTCTGTGTGTAAAAGCTTCTGTGCGTAAAAGCTTTCCTGTGTAAAACCGTCTGTGTGTAAAATGTATCAAGGAATAGATGTGTGATATTTCATGTACATCAGTCATCATACATCATTCACCACTTATATATCACTCATTCATCGCTTATTCGTCACTCATACTCATGCATCACTCATCTGTCACTGATTCATCACTCAGTCATCACTCGCTCATCCTCATTCATCACTCATTCAAGACTCCTTCATCACCCAATGAGTGATGAATTCATGACTCATCCATCATTCATTCATCACTCCTTCGCCACTCCTTCACCACTCCTTCATAAGAATGATAATCGTCACTGCCATCATCATCATCATCATCATCGTCATCATCATCATCATCATCATCATATTTTTCATACCATCATATTATCATATCACCATTCGCCATTCGTCATTCATCATTCATCATTCATTTCATCATTCATTTCAACATCCTCATCACCGTCGTCATCATCATCATCATCCTCGTCATCATCATCCTCGTCATCATCATCGTCGTCATCATCATCACCGTCACCATCACCATCATCATCATCATCATCATCATCACCATCACCATCGTTATCATCACCTTATTATCACCATATTATCACCATTCATTTTTCATGATTATATTTTCTTTCGTGCTTTCTGCTTGTCTCCTCCTCCCTTCTGCATTCTTTGGGCCATACCGTCGTCCAGTTTTTCTGTCATCAAACCCTCTCATTTGCTTTTATATCTGTAGGTGGTTGGTGATATCGTATCCCCAAATTTATCATATTTTGGTGTGGGGGCTGGCTGAATCCTCCCGCTACCTGTCTTTCCATTTTGTTTCGCTTCGGTGACTCTGTCAGGTTCGCACGAATGTGAGTCTCCAAGCTGTGATGAGACTTTGGAGAAAGCGTTGAAAGTGGAGAAAGAGGAGAAAGAGGAGAAAGCGGAGAAAGAGGAGAAGGATGAGAAGGAGGAGAACGCCGAGAAAGTAGAGAAAGAGAAGAAAGAGGAGGCCCACCGCCAACCGAAAAATGCCAGGCAGCCGTGGTGCTTCATCGCAACACACACACATATTTAAATCTGTGTATGTACATGGCAATATTTAATATAAATGTCATTAAATGCTCAGGTGCAGTTCATACCTCTATATGACACCAATACAATATGTAATATGTCCATGTATTTGTGCAAACATATTGATGTATTGTGTATTTATATATGTGTGTATTTACGTGGTTGTACATCTATCCTTCTCCCTATCTGTTTATTCAACCCATCTATTTAATCTATTTATTTTTACAATCTATTTATTTAATGTATCGATTAAATGCATATATCTTTTGAATGTATCTATTTATCTATCTATCTATCTCTCTATCTGTCTATCTACTTGTCTGTCTATCTATCTATCTAACTACCTATCTATCTATGTATGTCCCTATCTATCTATCTATCCATCTATCTATCTATCTATCTATCTATGTATGTCTATCTATCTATCTATCTATCTATCTATCTATCTATCTATCTATCTATCTATCTATCTATATCTCTCTCTCTCTATCTATCTATCTATCTATCTGACTATCTGTCTATCTCTCTATCTATCTCTATCTCTCTCTATCTATCTATCTATCTATCTAATCTAACCTAATCTAACCTAACCTAACCTAACCTAATCAAATCATTTTTGTCTAATCTTTTCTAATCTTTTCTAATCTTTTCTAATCTTATCTAATCTTGTCTAATCTTATCTAATCTTGACCTAATCTTATCTAATCTTATCGAATCTTATCTATTCTTATCTAATCTTATCTAATCTTATCTAATCTAATCTTATCTTATCTAACCTTATCTAATCTTATCTATCTACCTATCCACCCATCTATCTATCGATCTATCTATCTATCTCTCTATCTATCTATCTATCTGTCTATCTATCTATCTATCTGACTACCTATCTATCTATCTGTCTATCTATCTATTAATCTATCTTTTTATCTATCTTTCTTTCTATCTTTTTACCTATCTATCTATTTTCTCTATCTATCTATCTATCTTTCTATCTATTTATCTATCTATCTATCTACCTGACTATCTATCTATCTCTCTATCTATCTCTATCTCATTCTCTCTATCTCTCTATCTCTCTATCTATCTATCTATCTGGCTATCTATCTATCTCTCTATCTATCTCTATCTCTCTCTATCTATCTATCTATCTACCTATCTACCTATCTATCTAATCTAACCTAATCTAATCTAATCTAACCTAATCAAATCAAATCTTTTCTAATCTTTTCTAATCTTTTCTAATCTTATCTAATCTTATCGAATCTTATCTATTCTTATCTGATCTTATCTAATCTAATCTAATCTTATCTATTCTGATCTAATCTTATCTAATCTTATCTAATCTTACCTAATCTAATTATATCTTATCTAATCTTATCTAATCTTATCTAATCTTATCTAATCTTATCTATCTATCTATCCATCCATCTATCTATCGATCTATCTATCTATCTATCTATCAGACTACCTATCTATCTATCTATCTATTTATCTATCTATCTTTCTATCTATTTATCTATCTATCTATTTATCTATCTATCTATCTATCTATCTGACTATCTATCTATCTATCTATCTGACTATCTGTCTATCTCTCTATCTATCTCTATCTCTCTCTATCTATTTATCTATCTAATCTAACCTAATCTAATCTAATCTTACCTAATCCAATCTAATCTAACCTAATCAAATCATTTTTTCTAATCTTTTCTAATCTTTTCTAATCTTTTCTAATCTTATCTAATCTTGTCTAATCTTGTCTAATCTTATCTAATCTTATCTAATCTTATCTAATCTTATCTTATCTAATCTAATCTTATCTAATCTTATCTAATCTAGTCTTATCTGCTCTAATCTGATCTAATCTTATCTATCTATCTATCCATCCATCTATCTATCGATCTATCTGTCTATCTATCTATCTGGCTACCTATCTATCTATCTATCCATCTATCTATCTATTTATCTATCTATCTATCTATCTCTCTCTATATCTATCTATCTTTCCATCTTTCTATCTATCTATCTATTTATCTATCTATCTATCTACCTATCTGACTATCTATCTATCTATCTACCTACCTATCTATCTATCTCAATTATCTTATCTACCTATTCTATTCTATACTATCCTATCCTATCCTATGCTATGCTATGCTTTGCCATGCCATGCTATGCTATTCTATTCTATTCTATTCTTTTCTATTCTATTCTATTCTATCCTATTCAATTCTATTCTTCTATTCTATTCTATTCTAATTCTAATCTATTCTATTCTATTTTAATTCTAATTTATTCTATTCTATTCTATTCTATCCTATCCTATTCTATTCTATTCTATTCTATCTATTCTATTCTATCCTATTCTATTCTATTCTACCCTTCCCTATCCTATTCTATCTATTCTATCTATTCTATCTATTCTATCTATTCTATCTATCTATCTGTCTGTCTATCTATCTTAATTATCTTATCTATCTATCTATTCTATTTTATTCTACTCTATTCTATTCTATTCTATCCTATTCTATTCGATTCTATTCTTTTCTATTCTATCTATTCTATCTATTCTATCTATTCTATCTATTCTATCTATTCTATATATTCTATCTATTATATTTTTCTATCTTATCTATCTTATCTTATCTTATCTATTCTTACCTGATCTTATCTTATCTATTCTTACCTTATCTTATCTTATTTTATCTTTTTTTGTCTCATCGTATCTTATCTTATCTTATCTATCTTATCTACCTTCATTATCTTATCTATCTTAATTATCTGTTTTTATCTTATTTATCTTATTTTCCTTTTTTTAAATCTGATATATCTTATTTGTCTGATTTGTCTTATTTATCTTATTTTTCTTATTTATCTTATTTATCCGATTATCTTATGTATTTTCTTTAATCTTATTTATCTTAGTTATTTTTTAACCTTTTTCTTTTTTAATCTGATCTTGTCTTATCTTATCTGATCTTATCTTGTCTTACCCATCTTATCCATCTCATCTATCTGATCTATCTTATCTATCTCATCTATATTTTCTTTTTTATCCATCTTAGTATCTTATCTATCTTATCTATCTTACCTATCCTATCTAGTTTTTCTTTTTTAAATCTTGCTTCACCTTTTCTTTCTTTTCTATCTCATCTACCTTATCTATCTTTTCTATCTGGTCTACCCTGTCTATCTTATCTATCCTATCTATCTTATCTACACGCCCGAAATCCAACGTGGAATTGCATGCTATTCCTGAGGTCTCCTAACATGAACCTATGGTACGGTCTCAAGTGGATTTTGTTCCCGAGGAAATCATGCATTTAACTTTTTCACTAAAATCACTCAAAAATTGACATGGAACCCAATGCAGGCCCAAACTGAACCCAAACTGCACCCTGAAACAGCCAACCTGGAAGTTGAACAAGTTATCACAAAGCGATCTGCAAACTTGAAGGGTGATTTGCAGGTTAACCTGGAACGCATTTGGTTTTTAAGGCGTTCTCCCTGAAAATTCCATGTTAGTGACTTTCGGCCGAACCAATTTTCACTTCGTGTTGCGCTCGCATTTTGAAAACTATTCAGGTCCAGGTCTGTGGTGGGGAAAGAACTGAAACCAAAACACCTCCGCGAAAAGGTCGTGACTTATTTTTCGATATGTGTTGGGTTCCGTGTTCGTCGCACAACCTTCCAAAGTAAGCCGCGACAGGCAGAAAACCTGACAGCGAAGAGAGAAAAAGCAAGCGACATGAAAGGATAACAAACATCAGCAAACTAAGAAAGAGATGGAAAGAGCAACAAGGAGCAAAAGAAAGACAAACGTGACAATTTTATGGTGAATTTGCTGGAGCTGGAGCCCCCAAAAGTTAAACTCGTTGGGTTCCATGTTGGTTTCCGTTGGGTTCGACGATCACACCCGGAGGACACATGGTGGAGGAAAGCCTGACCAGGGGGAGCATACGGGGAGACAAAATGTGGCCACCAGTCCAGATTCAGCCCAAAAACGCCCAAATGGCACATTTTCTCCTTTACCAAGTGTAAAGGAAAACTCCCTAAGTCCATTCAAATCTCGTTTTTTTTTTTTACTTGTTGATTTTTCCGCTGTTTCCCTTCCCCCAACGAGATGGCCATTCAGGTTCCAAGTTAGTTTTCGGGTTCCTGGAGCCCATGGTATGCAGAAAAACCACCAGTCCAGATTCAACCCAAGCATGCTGGGGAAAACATTCGCCAAATGCAACTAGACCTAAGAAAAACTAGGGCTGAGTGGCGCAACATGCTCCAAAATATGCTTCCCCATCCCACCCCAGGGGAGAGGGAGTCCTTTTTCGTGTTTTTTAATTTTTGTTGGTGCCAGCTCTTCTGCCAATAAAATGAAGACATGGGTGGGGAAGAATGAGAAGGTTCTTTCATGATAAGGTTCAACTTATGTTTTTCTATATCGGTTGGGTTGGTTTCGGCTGCGAGCCAAAGCGACACACATTCAAAGCCTTGCTGCAAGCGACAGCTCACGGAGAACGGACACTCAACGGGGGTTGTGTCAACAGGCTTTTGTTCCATGTTGGTTTCCAGCTTTCAGGGTATGTGGGAGGTCACCATGGGAAAGGTACTGTGCGGGTCCATGTTGGTTTCCATGTTGGGTTCCATGTTGGGTTCCAGCTTTCAGGGTATGGGGGGAGGTCACCATGGGAAAGGTACCGTGGGGGTCCATGTTGGTTTCCACGTTGGGTTCCATGTTGGTTTCCAGCTTTCAGGGTATGGGGGAGGTCACCATGGGAAAGGTACTGTGGGGGGTCCATGTTGGTTTTCATGTTGGGTTCCATGTTGGTTTCCAGCTTTCAGCGTATGTTGGAGGTCACCATGGGAAAGGTACCATGGGGGTCCATGTTGGTTTCCATCTTGGGTTCCATGTTGGGTTCCAGCTTGCAGGGTATGGGGGAGGTCACCATGGGGGCCCATGTTGGTTCCCATGTTGGGTTCCATGTTGGTTTCCAATTTTCAGGGTACGGGGGAGGTCACCATGGGAAAGGTACCAGGGGGGTCCATGTTGGTTTCCATGTTGGGTTCCATGTTGGGTTCCAGCTTTCAGGGTGTGGGGGAGGTCACCATGGGAAAGGTACCATGGGGTTCCATGTTGGGTTCCATGTTGGGTTCCAGCTTTCAGGGTATGGGGGAGGTCACCATGGGAAAGGTACCATGGGGGTCCATGTTGGTTTCCATGCAAGGTCGGTGTTATTTTGCTGGCAGTTACTCTTTTTTGAAAAAAGACAGCTAAACCTGTAGTTTTGGACATATTATGTTTGTATGAATATACTATACCTATATATATATATTTTGCTAGATGTCATATATCAAGTTACATTGAAGCACATATTCAAATTTAGATATACACATATCAAAAAGTAAAAAGCATATAATATAATATTAATTTTCAAGTTTTAATATGTTATATATTTAGGTACGTTTTTCCCATTTATCCACCATAAACGTGACATTTCTCATTTTCTCGTTGTGGCTTTCCCGTTGTGTCTCCGCGTTGTTGTCTATAACGGGAGCTCCCGGAGGCCATGTGGCCGTGCACCTCCGGAGTTTCCCGTTGCATCAGCGTGGGCCCCAACTTGGAACCTGTTGTTTATCCCCGGTTGCCGACTCACTCGACCCGAGTGCACGGTCAAACAACGGGGAGACACAACGGGAAAGCCACAACGGGAAAATGAGAAATGTCACGTTTGTGGTGGGTAAATGGGAAAAACGTATCTATATAACATATTAAACATTAAAAATTAGTATATACTTTGAATATATACATATGTATACATGTTTACTCTTTATGTTTTGAATATGTTTTCGATGTGTTTGTAAGATGTGTTGAGGATATGTTTTGTGTGTGTGTGCTTTTTGACATGTACCGTATGCATTTAAACTTGTCTTCAGAATTTGTACTTTGGAATTCATCTTGGACAAAATGCCTCATGGAGTCAAAAGAGCTATTATGTAGCATCTTACATCCATCAACCACAGCAAAGGGCATAATGGTTCCGAATTCCCCGTGTCAGCCGCCATGGCTAACATGGAACTTTTGGATGAGCACTCTCTGGCAGCTTGTGGGGTTCTATATTAGTATGCCATGCAGCCAAAAAGTGTGCAAACATGTCCAAATTCACCAGCACCAACATGGCACCTACCTGGCACTTATCCCGCTCATGAATTTTCACATGGCGCAGTAACATGGAACCTATTTTTTTGCCCAACGTTAGTTTTCGGGAGAGTATCTATCTATCTTATCTATGTTACCTATGTTATCTATCCTATCAATCCTATCTATCCTATCCATCCTATCCATCCTATCCATCTTATCTATCCGATCTATCCTATCCATCTTATCTATCCGATCTATCCTATCCATCTTATCTATCCTATCTCTCCTATCTATCCTACCTATCCATCCTCCTTGCCATGTCCTCCACAGAATGGTCAGGGTTGACCCCCCCCATGGAGCTACCATTCTGTGGAAAATGAGTCCTTAAAACGGGGTCACAGATACCATTATGTAGTAATTAGTGGGTTTTAGCTGGTTTTATCTTTTTTTTAAGGCATGATCATGTAGTGGCACCAAAACAAACCATTCTGGAACACACAAAAACCAATTTTGTAGAGTTTTTTTGGTGGTTAAAAAAAGTGAATTAGCCAGTGACAAAGAAAAAACTGGAAGCCATTCTATAGAGAACCAATTGTTTCAATACTTGTACCATTTTATAAGTGCATATTTGTGTTTGCAACGGTTGGCTCAAAAAACTATAGGAAACTGAAATTCCCCTCTCCCTGACAGTTCCACCAACGATAGCCTTCACACGTTTGGTGCTCTTCGCACATTCCGTGCTGGCTGGCTTTGGTGCTCCTGCTGCTGTGCTGAACAAGAAAGGTGCCACGCTACCAAGAAAGGTGCCACGGTCCATCGCAATTCTTCTGAAGGCCCTGCTCTTCGTTGCTTTGGGACCGTTTTTGTGACTTCCAATGGAAAAAGCTTTCATGTGCAGAAGGATTGCCAGCACATTGTTGGCAAAACATTGTCTACATTCTCATGCTGCAAAAGTTGCATGAAACAGTTTCCTTCCACCTCCGAAAAGGATGAATGACAATGAATTACAGGGTGAAAATCCTACGAAATGGCCCTGGGAAAAAGGCAGTTGACGCTGAGTACTTGACGAGGTAGATGCTTTACAAAATGGCTCTTGTTTTTTAAACTTTTTTAAAGACCGTGAATGCTGGTTTATCATTTTTTGACAAAATTGTCACAATTCTTGACAGGCAATACCATTTGTAGACAGTTGACAGGCAATACCATTGTGTAGAGCTTTTGTAGGATGGAGAATGGGTGCCACAATCATTTTGTAGAGCAGAAGGCTAGATCTCTACAATATGGTCCACTGCAACCCCACCCATGGAATGGCAAGGGGGATATCTATCCTATCTTTCCTATCTATCCTATCTCTCCTATCTACCCAGTCTATCTACCTACCCAATCTATCTAATCTATCTAATCTATCTAATCTATCTAATCTATCTAATCTATCTAATCTATCTAATCTATCTAATCTATCTAATCTATCTAATCTATCTATCTATCTATCTATCTATCTATCTATCTATTTTCTCTATCTATCTATCTATCTATCTATTTTCTCTATCTATCTATCTATCTATCTAGCTCTCTATCTACCTATCTATCTATCTATCTATCTACCTATCTATCTATCTATCTATCTGACTATCTATCTATCTATATTTCTTTCTTTCTTTCTTTCTTCCTTTCTTTCTTTTCTTTCTTTCTTTCTTTCTTTTTCTTTCTTTCTTTCTTTCTTATCTTACCTTATCTTATCTTATCTATTCTTATCTTATCCATGCTTATCTTATCTTATCTTAGTTCATCTTTTTTTGCCTCATCGTATCTTATTTTATCTTACCTTATCTTATCTTATCTATCTAATCTATCTATTCCCAAAGAAAATCAAAGTAATTGACAAATGATCAAGAGTCGATGCAAACAGGCTGTTAAACTCCTAAGTGCCCATCCATCCACCTGCCAAAGAAAAGTCACGAGTCAACAATAAGTGAACAACATCCCTACATCCCATCCAGAGACATGGATGCTCAGCGAGGAGGCATTGAGATGGATGTGTGGACATTTGCCCATTCGGGCGCGAGAGCAAACTTCTTTGTATACCCTGCAGTAAACTAACAATATTATGGAAAACCGCCATGGTTTAAAGTTAAAAGCGCGCAATCATCGAATTGCGCCATCGATTCCAGAGTAATGTAAACGATTAGCAGAGGGTGCTCTGTCCCTGGGCAACGTGATCACCGGACCTAAGACCAAATCTCCAAGCTCGCCAGATCGTTGATGACCCAACGCGCGGGGAGTCCGTGACCAATGCGGTGCTCATGGATTCACAGCTCGATGCCCTGACTGCAAATAACAGAATCTTGGGATGAAGGTTTTACGATCATTGCCTTGTCAAGACGGGAATGGATCAAGTTACCCTTGTTCCCTGCCTCCCGGGTGCGGATCTCTAGACATTGAAAAAATATGCCGCGTCCAGCGCTCGGACCCGAACACGATGCCGACGTAAAATGTCAGACAGATTGCCAAAATGAAATGCCAGAAGGAATGTCAAAATGCAAGGCAATTATGTCAGATAGCATGGCAGACACCATGTCAGAGAGATTGCCAGATGAACCGCAGAAACATTGTCAAAATATATGTCAGACAAAAAGACAGAATGCTGAGTTTAAATGGAGACGGAATGTCAAAAGAAATGCCAGGTAGATAGTCAGATCAAATGTCGGAATATATAATATATGTCAAACAAAATGTTAGACTGAATGCCACATGACATTTCAAATAGAGTGTCAGTTGAAATCTTAGATAGGATGCCAGATAGATTGTCAGATGGCATAAGTGTCAGATGGAATGCCAGATAGAATCTCAGATAAACGTTGGAATATATGTCAGCTAAAATGTCACAACATATGTCAAACAAATTGTCGGCATACTGTATAGTGAGCTAAAATGTCAGAGCATATGTCCGATCAAACGCCAAGCCGAATGCCGAATCAGAAGCCAGATAGAATGTCAGAGGAAATGTCAGACAGAATGTGCCAGATAATGATCGAATGTCAGAATTTATGTCAGTTAGAATGTTGGCAGGTATGTCAGACAAGATGGTGCAATATTTGTCAAAATTACAATGTCAGAGTGTCATTTGGTGGGGATCACCTGAAGAAAGCAGTTCCTTTCCCATCAACGTGCCGGGATTATCATCCATAACTGGTTGAACTGCCGCCTACATTGGGTCAAATTTGCAGGGCCCCCTTTGGGCGAACTCCGGGCCCGAGGTCCAACTCTTCTAGAGTAGGCCACTTGGCGACTGGCCAGCCGGGCCCGCTGTGGAGCCGGCTTTTTCTGCGCAGGTAACTGTTCTCAACAGACCCGTGCATTGAAAAATTGATAATGTGCTGTCTGGGATTCTGCATTAACTTAGCTGATTGGAGCGTAACCTTAGCCTGGAACCCCCAAGTACGATTTTTGTTTGGGCAATGTTTGTGTGCCAAGTTTTTCGATCTTTGCAATCAGCTGAGTGCTTTCCAGCTACAACAAATCCGTCCTAGCAGCGCTGGCCGCTGTCGGATTCAACGAATGCCCAGCTGAGACGGACCCGATGGACGTGTGGTTGGTGGTTTAGCCATATAGGGTTTTAAATGGGGGTACCCCAATTGGTTGGTTTACAATGGAAAATCCATCGATTTAGGGGTGCCCCCATGACTTGGGAAACCTCGATATTTGCGATTTCCCACGATAGAAAGTTTGGAATGATGATCCCCAATGACTTTCGCATATGTTCCAAGGTTGCATGCGGGTCCATGTTTGGGTCGCCTGCTCGCTGCGCACGATTTATTTGACAGCTGTGTGTTTTGTTTGCTTGGGTTTGTCTCAAAAAAAGCGGGGGGCCCGACTTGGTGTGTGTCATCATCATTTTCCAATGTTGTTCAATGTGGGCAAAACAATAATACACCATTCCCCAAGTCACCAAAAGTAGATGGTATAAACAATTCCCAAATGAGTGTTTTTTATTTTTTAACCTGCACATTTTTCAAAGACCAACCCACCTGCACGGCATAGCCGTTTGCCTTCGCCTTCTTTTTGCGCCTGATTGTGCTGACAAAAGGTGCCAGACTGTAGCGCTGACGAAAAGGTGCCAGGCTGTAGCTGCTTCTGTGACATACACTGAAGTCATCTTTGGCGGTTGGCGAAGACGTTTAGATTGTATATATACGGGCACCATGAAAGAACAGAACATGAAACAATGCAATCAGCAAATCTTGTGTCGTGACTCGCGCAATCCAGTCAGGTGCTGCGTTGCTGAGCAAATTCTTTGAAGACCCAAAGCAGGTACTTCAACGGGTCAAGATGTTCCGCGGTCCAAAAGGATTTGTTTCCGCATCCCGCCATTGATTCCGTTTCATAGGCCTATCAGAGTTTGATCATTGCATTTTTGCCCTAAACAGTGTGTTCACACTAGGGGGTTCTTACAGTAATCAGTGGTCAAGGCCTGGTGGATCGAAGGTGGTTGCATACGTGTTCGCCGTTGTTGGTGTGGCCCTTACAGCGCAAAAAGCTCATCAATCTTCCATTTTCGGAGGGAGTCTCACACCAAAACGGAGTTATAGGAAATTCGTTCTCGCCTGCCCTGCAAGTTTTCGGAACTATGTATGTCTTTCGCGGCAGGCGCAAGAGATTCGGCGCTTTTGGAGGGTCAGAGCTTGGTTTTTGGCGCAGAACATCGAACATTTCTTTATCGGTGTTGCTGGCAGGCGTGGTTACTTCGTGCGGGCTGTTAAAACGTTGGCAGGCATGGCTCGAGGTGAGAGGTGCCGCCAGAGTTCGTTTTCGTGGCAAGCCCCATGTTTTGAAAGCTTCGAAACGCTCGTTAGTGAGACTGTTGGCGATTTGGATTTGGCACTTGGTCTTCATGTTGCGTAGCAGGTTTAATGGGCGAAGACCGTGTCAGACATCAGGGCTGCGAGTCAGACAACACGAGTCAGGCAACACCGACGCGCGAGTCAGACAACAGAAAGGCGCGAGTCAGACAACAGAAAGGCGCGAGTCAGACAACCAGGAACGCGCGAGTCAGACAACAAGGAACGTGCGATGAGGGGGAGGGGGAGGTGGGGGGCCATAACTTTCAATAATACTTGCGTACCTAGATGATGCTACGTCACTTGAAGTTGCTGATCAGTTTGTGTTTCTTTTTAGTTGGGGATTTCGGGTGGGGTTGGGGGGTGGGGGGATGAGGTGAAGAGGGGCACTAGCGTCTAGGTTAGATCAGCTAGAGCGTCTTCCCAAGACAGCTTCACACCCTTTTACTCACGGCCAATAGCCAGTCGGTCAACAGGATTAATTACTCTATATTTCTCTTGAGCCTTGACAGCGTATATAAACGTGCTCAATACTCATGCTATATCCACATAGGGGATACAAGCCCAAAACAACAGGCACAAATTCAAAGGCAATGAGTAGAGCACTACGCTTTGTCGTACCCAATTGAGAATAAGAGTTGGGGCCTGTACTGTGCTACACGTTGGCTAATCAGCAAAAATTGAGCGGAAGCCACGCAGCGGGTTCTTTACGAAAACAGCGGATGTAGGCGGATTGAAAATCACAAACTTGCCCTAAGGACATGTCGAAATGAAAGCAGCGGATTCGCTAATTATTTTTCTCGACAATGGTGCGCAATGCACGGCCGCTCCAAGCAAAATGCTCTACCGGTGTGAAAAATCTTCCTCCAAACGTTCGAATTTGCAAGGTTCAGAAATTGAGGTCAGATGGGAAACAATTGACCGAATCACAAAATAAACGGATACAGAGGATCTCCAAAGTCGCTCATTCAAGCGGACGATGGACAAAATTCTTGATAATCTTGGTTCGTTCCACTGGGAACTACTCTGCCCGGCGAAACGTGTATGGAGACAAATTGCGATATTATCTGTATCTACAGGAGTATATTTATATATCTACATTAAATTGAAGTTTGGACACAGAAGTGGCATTATCTCCAACTAAAAGAGTATATGCCACCTTGTGTTAAAATGAAACTCTGTTTTTTATCTCTGTCTAAAAGAGTATATACCTTTTCTGTGAAAAGAGCGAGCTCACAGAAAAACTGTACAGAGCAATTCATGCTGTGTTATCTTCATCTATAGAAGTATACACTCACTCCGGTCTCCATGTTCTGGATGATGAAGCTGAGGAACCACCATAACCAGTAACATGCCAGTTGCTCTGGTCGCCTCTCTCTCGCCCTTTCTCTTTTGATGACGTCTTCGTTTCATCTCGTAAGGAGTATAGGCACGCTTTTCACTCCAAATCATATCTGAAGGTTTCAAGTGAACAAGAATGGGGTTGTGAGCGTCTCTGTCTGTAGGTGCAACCTTGAAGATGTTGTGATCATTGGTTAAACAAGTTTCATTGACCCTGAAGGAAACTTCACCAGGAAAATCCATGTGATCTTGATCATCAAAACGACTGATATCTTCCTCATACTCCAATCTAGCATGTCCCCACTCAACAGTAGACATCATACAACAATCACCACGATCTTCTGCTGTCTTCTTCGCGAGTTCTGCGGTGTATGTGGCTGTTGTAATGCCATCCTTATGTGTTGCAAGAACATCAAGATCCCGATAACTACAGGAGATAAAGTGCTTGACCCTGACAGGTGGACAATCTCCAAAGTGTTTGCGTCTTGCTTGTAATGCAACATTCATCATCTTGTTGATCCAGTACTGCAATAAGCTGCATTCGTACGTGGGAACTCCTCCGGTTTTCGGAGTTGCAACATAGCATGCCTTGTTCCCGTCGCCTGCGATCACGTCAACTTGATAACGGGCGCACTCAAAGGCCCTGCAAGCAATGCACTCTCCTGTGATACCGGGAGAATCTCCGACATGCTTTTGTCCTACGTGGTATACACACACGCATGTCATCTTCATTCGAGCTCTTGTGAGGGGCTCCTCAATCTCTGTATCTCATTGTTTTGTAATGCCCCAATAAATCTCGAATATTGCCCAGGATACATACCTGATGCGCGTGTCATCTTCACTTGTATTGTGCCCAGCAATTTGTCGGATATATCCTCCCTTTCCAATCCGAGCAGCTACCATCAAATCATGATAATCATTGAAGCAAGTAGTGATTCGCACCTCTTCAAGCAATTCCCTGCGAGAATAGAGACTACCAGCCTCGCAATTCATGAATAGATGTGCTCCAAGGTTCTTGATGACGTTGACTGTGGCTTACCTCCAATCTTCTCATGATCACTGTTCAGGTCGTAATCTATGTGTGGCACAAACTTTTGTAGTCGTTCAGGTAATGGACATTTGCTGAAACGTGTTCTGCACCAGTTTCCAAGATTCCAAAACATCAGTGAGAATTGTGGAGATGCTCTGCAAGGATGTTCTTCATCATAATACGTGGGGTCAAACATGCCTCCTGTGAGATATCTGGAAGATAAGCATTGCAACACTATGCAGTAAGGCAATACCTTATGATCCTCAACGTAACAATCCAATACCGTTGTCAAACTTTTGAAATCGTCATCAATTCTTCTTTCTGCTTCCCTAGCTGCTTCCTCTGCATGTTCTTGGTGTCGTGGATGTAATCTAGGATCGCTGCAGCCATATTCACATGTGTTCTTGATATTTCTAGTTCTTGGAGTGGAAGCTGATCTTTATGCCTGGCCATATTCTGCTATCAACTGATCATCTGTGTTAGAATACCAGTGGTCTTGACGAGGAGCCATGGTAGTTCTATACTTCACATGCCAGAACATATGTCGATGTTGAGAAGAAGCTGGATAACCTTGATTGCAGAATCCTGCCCATTCACCATGGTAACCATCAGTAAAACACTCAGCAAGTTTTCGAAAAAATGAATCACCTTCATTGCCAGTGATGTCAGCACCAAAGTAAAGTCTTTTGGCAGGTTCAGATTTTGGAGCTGTGTCGTGTCATCTTGCTGTAGATCTGCCTGTGGTTCCCCTGATACCTCTTTCTGCAAGGAGCCTTCAGGTGGAACTGGTTCCTCTTTCTGAAAAGAGCTTCGAGCCTTAGATCCTGACAGAAACGACCCGTCTGTCTGACACTCCATGCTCGCCTGTGCTGGTGGTGGAACTGTAGGCTCCTGTGATTCTTCTTGTTCCTCTTCAACTTCAACTTCTTCTTCTTTTGTCTCTGACTTGACAACTCTCACTTCTTCTGAACGGTCTTGTTGTACATGCTAAGCCACATGGTAGTGCAATCAACCAAATCATCATCTTCCGTTTCTAGAATAATTTGCTTGTTCTCACGACTCAGGCTTTGAACAGTACCCTTGAACTCAGGATCAGCACGGCCTTGATCTTCACGACGTTGAAGAGGAATGTTGGGATCATCATCCATAAGATCTGGTTCCTCAATATCATCAAAATTGTCTTGCTTGACATTCTTGTTGGCCTCGGCAACTCTCTTGAGTTCCAG